CAGTTTATGCACAGACCATGTCAGCCTCATATTGATGCAATATATCATATTCTTCGGTACCTTAAGTCTTGTCCTGGACTTGGATTGTTCTATGCATCAGGATCTCAGATTAGTTCTCTAGCCTGTTATTCAAATTCAGATTATGGGGGAGCGTGTGACGGTCGATCTACTACGGGCTTTTGTGCTTTTCGAGAGACTCATCTTATCTCTTAGAAGAGTAAGAAGCAGTCAGTTGTCTCTCACTTATCAGCAGAGGCAGAGTATCGAGCACTAGCACCTGACACATGTGAGATTATCTGGCTACGATCGATTCTTGGCGAGTTGGGATTTCCAGTGACTTCTTCATCTACATTATATTGTGATAAAGTGATATGCTATTCAGCTCGTTTCTGACTCTGTATTACACTAGAGGACGAAGCATATAGAGATCGATGTTCATTTCCTTCGGGAGAAGGTTAGCAGTGGTATTGTCAATCCATCATTCGTGGGGACCAATGATCAGGTTGCGAATGTGTTTACAAAATCTGTCACTCTATCCATTTTTCGGGGCTCCGTTGTCAAGCTTGACTTAGTTGATATTTTTGCGCCTAGCTTGAAGGGGAGTATTGAAGATATAATAACCTAGTTTATTAGGGTTTATTTTGTTTTACCTTTTTTTTTATCCTTATTGTAAACTTTCATTCGCTATATATACGTGACTCTACATTTAGTTTGTATACATTAAAAATCTCAATCTACCCCTTCAATGTTATGAATTGGTACCAATATGGATCTTGTTTAGACTATCTTTCAATTTTCTATCATAAATTCAAGCACGTGAGTTGCAACTAATTCGGGCCATGGAGTTATTTATAAATTCATGAACTATTAGTGTCTCGCGTGAATTAGACATGATAAACTTTGTCTCTACTAGCAATCCACGTAAATAGATTTGAATAATATTATTTTTATAAAAAAAAAAGGGTAATTAAATTAAATAATAAATTAGGTATTGAATAATTAATTTATATTTAATTATTACTAAATTTAATTATTAATTTATTATATAAGGTTTTCGATTATGTTAGGCATTTGTACATCTAATTATATTATAGAATTATTAATTTTTACTTTTTAAATAGATTGATTAGATCGTTTATTATATTATTATATTATTACATACCAAAAAATAAAATATAACATATATTGAATTGTGAAATTTAACCTGGTGATTACATATGTATAATAATTTAATATATATAAGACAATACTTCTTCATATAGATATAGATAATTGTATGTAATTGTACTACTAATAAATGAGTTTAAAAGAATTTAGAAATAATTATAAAAGAGTTAAAAATAAGTTGAAAGTCAAATAGGTGTAAAAATAATAAATTAGATGAAACTATATAGGTGGATATAATAGACTTTATCATAATAATTAAGGATAAAATAATAAATCAAAAGTTTTTGACAGATACTAATATTTATAAGTAGTATAGATTTGATTAAAGAAACCTTATTTTTGATACATAAAATGATGCTAAATTGATCACATACAAAGATCTACATCAATGGACACACCTCATTCTCATGTCCGAAGTAGTTGCAACTCATATGCTTCAATTTATGACAAAAATTCAATTTATGACAAAAAACTGAATGACAATTTTAGTTAGGTCTATATTGTTACCAATTCATAACATTGAGGTACAAATTGAGATTTTTAATGTTTGAATATACAAATTGAGAATCGAAACATCATTTGGGATGCAATATGAGATTAGCCCTTATTAGTATTGCACATTAATTTCACTTATTAATCATTGTGTTAAGTAATCGTTTATATTTATAATTTCATGTTGTGTTGGATGGATATCACCACCTTTACAAATACATTTTTGCAACATATAGGACAGTAATGTTACGACAAAAAAAAATTGGATAAATGTTGACGAAAACCTTAATTATCTAATTTACTTACCGAAAAAATACATTATAATTATATAAAAAGGCCGGCACAAAATT